TGGTCCGATCACGCTGCGTCCGAACACCACCATCCGAAATGGAACAAATCGGCCTTCGTCGACGAAGAAGCCAGGCTGCTCGCCAAGTGTTGGATGGACCAACGGACCGATCTTCTTCACGTGCTGGTTTAGCTGCTCGAGGGACACACCAGCGTAGTCCTTGACACGGCACAGAGTCTTCTTCGACTCTAGGTCACGCACCAGTCGCGCAAGCACGTCTTCGTGGTCTTTCTTCTTGCCGTTTGCTGCGTTCATGGTTGCCGATGTTGTTCTTTCTCGCACTGGCAGAAGCAAACAAGAAAGGCCTTGCCCAGTGTGGTCCACGCTACGAATGAATTGACTTCAAATTGAATTGGTACTTCCACTAAATGATCAATTCAAATTTGATTCATCAGTGACGGTTCCGAGAACTACTGTAAAACCTGTGATTGTGCCCCATGGGGTACTACGTTAGTACCCCACCCCGTCAGTGGGGTACTATTAGATGCTAATTTGTAAAGAAGTTTGATCAAGCTCAATCTAGAGTTTCATGAGTGCGTGTGTCACTTGAGCAGCAGCCCGTGTTCCTGTGTCAACGGCAGCATGCACCGACATGCCGGGCTGCTCGAAAGCTGTCGCTTCGCCAGCGAAAAAAAGGCGATTATCTACAGGTGCAGCAAGTTCAGATGAAGCCGAGTCGGACTGACCGACCCGGGGATATGCGTAGCCTCCACAGATCCACGGCTCGTCACCCCAATCTTTGTAGATGCCCTTAACAAAGTTTTTGCGTGCGGGAAACGGCTCATCCACCGTGCCATATATCATATCGAGCTGGTCAAGAAAGCCCTCTACTATCTCGTCATGATCCATGCCAATGAATTTCTCCGCGTATAGTGCACTGGCAAATCCTGTTATCAAATACTTTGCACCGCTATCTGCAGACTTGTCGGTCACATTGGCGACATATTGCTTGTCACCATTGGTCTTTAAATGGCCGATGCCTTGCGTGGAGTTGAACCAGAACTCAGGCAAGAAACAGTCCGAACAGATAACACCGTGGGCATTTTCAGGCCAAAATTGCCCTGACATGTGCAAAATTACCTTTCCCGCACGGCGCATATCGAATGACTTAACGGCATTAAGCTTTTGCTGTGGAAGAGGTGGAGAGTAGGCAATCTTAGAGAATACTGCAATAGACACAGTGACAACCAGTGCCTTGCACAAGAGCTGCTTGCCGGATGTACTAGTCAGAAGAATGCGGTCACTCTGGGAGTAGTCCACATTAGCAACAGGCCAGTTGAACCTAGTCATCACACCTTCGGCAAAGTAATCAATGAAACGCATAAGGCTTGGTACAACACGATAATCACCGTCGTCCTCCAATTCAATCCACATCTTTTCGTAGCGGCAAGTAGTGCGCTGTGATATGTTTTCTAGTGGCCCACCAGCAGTATTGGCATATCCTGCCTCACAAAGCTTCATCATGGAAGAAGACAAGCCCACTTCACTGAAATAATCCCTCATAGACTTGTCATGTGGGATATTGTCAATATTCTCGAGGGTACTCAAGTCAGACACTGACTGGTTGAGTTTGATAAATTCCTCATCATCATCATCGTACATTAGCATGCGCTTTTGGTCGCCGATAAAGTAGTAGCCGATGCCACCATCCGGTGCCGGCTCGGTCGGACCGCCATCACCCTACATGCGTTAGTTTAAAACGAGTGATAAGTGTGATCGCTAAACCATACATAATTTTCATTTGGAATGTATGAGTCCAGACTGACTTTTTCAGAATGGTTGCGAGATCCGAAGATACAAGAACTGTACCATCGAAAGCACGCATTGAGCAACCTGACTTCAGATGGAGAACATGTCGCTCGTCCTGAAAATGCTAATTAAGGAAACATGTTCCGACGTTTTCTTTTGCATTCGTATGAAGGCCAGACGACTA